TCTACCAGCCTCTGCCCTGCTTCATTTTGTACTCCAAGGCCAAACTTGCCTGTCATTCCGGTTATCTTTTGGCTTCCTACTTTAGCATTCCAATCCCGCATGATGATCAGGCATCATTTTTGGGTGTTAATTCTAGAAGGTGTTGTAGGCCTTCATAGAACTGGTCAGCTTCAGCCTCTTCAGCACCAGTGGTTGGGGCATAGACTTGGACTACTGTGATGTTGAATGGTTTGCCTTGGATTCGAACTGAGATCATTCTGCCATTTTGGAGATTGTATCCCATGCCTGCTTTTCCTACTCTTTTATTGACTATGAAGGCTACTCCATTTCTTCTGAGGGATTCTTGCCTGCAGTAGTATACCTGATGGTCATCTGAATTAAATTCACCCATTCCTGTCCATTTTAGTTCACTGATTCCTAAGATGTCAATATTCAGTCTTGTCACCTCTTGTTTGACCACATCCAGCTTGCCTTGATTCATGGATCTTACATTCCAGGTTCCTATGGAGTACAGATGTTTGCAGCATCAGACTCTCCTTTCACCACCAGATACATCAGCAACTGAGTGTCCTTTCGGCTTTGACCCAGCCGCTTCATTCTTTCTGGCGCTACTAGTACTAGCCCTCCGCTCTTCCCCAGTAGCATATTGGACACCTTCCGACCTGAGGGGTTCATCTTCCGGCATCACATCTTTTTTCCTTTTGGTACTGTCCATGGGGTTTTCATGGCAAAGATATTGGAGTGGGTTGCCATTTCCATTATATATAGATGCACATATATTCAAACCTGCTTCAGTGAGTTTCATTTGTTCTTGTTGCAGAATATGAGGCCAGGAATGTTGTTTCCCTTGTTGCAGAAATGGGAGGGATATTTTGCACACAGCCCTCCCAACCTTGCTGAAAAGAACATGTACAGAATGTGTCATGTAGCAGGGAAGCACAAGGTTAGGACAGTGCTCAGAGACAGCTACCATCTGACAAACAAGCGAGGGCAGGACAGCAATCTCTAGCGTGGAAGATAAAACTCAATGATCCAATAGCGGGGAAGGAGAAACTGAACAGGCCCCTGCCTCTGCTCTGGAAAGGTTTCCTAAGAACTGACTTACGAGCTTGTGTGACTTTCAGGCTTCCCTTCTTGGCTGCTGAGGTCCGCTTGGCTACCATCTGTGCAGTCACTTTGCCCCAGTTACCTGAGTGGTTCTTATAGATCTTGGTTTTCTCTTAGATTCTTGTTACTCGCCCTGAAGCCATACTTGAACTTGGCAAGCCCAACGGTGTTAGCCATGGGACTGAGACAGCCTCAGAAGGTGAGGTGATGAAGTGAGATGCCTCATCTGTATTTTTAACCCCTAGCCAGGCAGGTGCCTCTGTGCTTGAGAAGAAGGCAGCAGCTTGGAGAGCAACTGAGCAAGAGAGGCCAACAGAGTCTGAGCTTAGTAAGCACCTTACAGTGCTGGCTATCTTCTGACATGGAAGCACTGGACTGAGTGTTTAAGCTATGCTCAAGCTCCGGTTATGCTCAACCCACATAAAAGAAAATGCCTTAAGTCTCCAGTGGCCCCCTTTCACATGCTTGCACCCCTGCAACTTCTCACCACTCAGAGAAGTGGAGTGAAAACAATAATAAAGGAGATTAATGTGGCCTAATAGGATAATTGCTGCTGGTGTGGGAGAACTTTGTATACTTTATCTCAATAATTCTTATAACTACCCACTCACACCCTGCTATTGCTATAAACACAACCCCTGGCAAAATCCAACTGCTCCACCGTCCTCTGATGGCTCCGCCATCTGAGCCCCAGAGCAGAAACAATTTACTCCTTTGATTCAAAGTTCAGATCTGCACCATGGTCCCTGCCCTGCAGGGAAGCCAGGACAGGCATCATCACATCACATCACATAGCAAGAGGAAATGCTTCAGGGGTTCTCGAGGATGCAATGTCATTGCCACAACAGCATCGACCAGGACTGAGATGGAGAAGTTATGGCGTGTCAAACAATAATCAGCACCAAGAGTGGCCAAAAAACAAACAAACCCCAAAACAACACCCCACAACTCATTGTGAGAGAAAAGGAACACGAAAGAAACAGCTCTGCCTCCCTGGAAGTCCGATGCAGCTGAGTCACAAGTGGCCAAGGCAGGGACGCAGGTCTGTCTGTTTGCTGCCTGTGTTGTGCTGACATCAACTGCCCAGTCATGCAGAGCACAAGGAAGTGGAATGGTGGCACTGCATGAATCCTGAACTTTCAGCCTTCAGAACTGGGCTGAAACCAAACTTCTGTGTAGGGCCAGCCATTGGAATAATGCGGCAAGTGCAGTCATTTAAGGTAGTGGGGCTCAGGAGCAGATTTACCTTAATCTTAAACCTTAAATTTAATCTGCAGATTTCATACTGCCACAGCTCCCAGGAGCACTGTCCCTGCCGTTTTATGATTACATTTCAATAGAGACCTGTTAAGTCTGTACTGCTCTAAAACCACATATGGCTTCTGCCTTTTGAAGAGCAGGATGAATGGGTAGGTATGCTGCCAGCAAAGTCCTGGAGCTCACAGTATCTCCAGACAGTCAGATGGTGTCTATTGGGTAGGAAGGCTTTTAACTCTTTGCTCTCCACTAGGATCCCATGTAGTTTGGATGGTGGGGGACACACCTGCTAACACTGAAACATGGGAGCTCTATTTCCAATGCAAATAGCAATGGTGTGGGTTGATTTGGAGCAGAGGGGGAAGATTAACGCCCCACAAAGCCCAGGTAGGATCTTCAGTCCATTCACACAATTGCTAATTACACAGATGCTGTTGTGCCTAGTTTGGTCCTATGATCAGGTCTGTTGTAGTGTGCACATGTGTGCAAGCACATACACTCCTCACCTAAGCACAAAGCAGCAGTGAGAGGCAGTAGAAGAGATTAGTCCAGGGGCACCGATCATACTGACCATGGGAATGATGAGAAGTTAGAGCTCTTAGGAGGGGATGTTGAAATGGGAGACCAACCCTCCCCCTTCAGAGAGGGACCAGGTGGCTCAGCACCAACACTAGCCAGAAGCCCAACTAGGTGCAACAGGTGGAGTGGGGGCATGCCCGTTTCCACAACACACCTCCTCCAGGGTTGGGGCACAGACAGGTTCATAAGGAGAGCTTTGAGAAATGAACAGTAGATAAGATTCAGCACACTACTCTGGGTATGCTCAGAGACTTCTGTGAAACAATAAAGGTCATTAAGCAAAGAACGGTTTCAGGGTGGTGCCGGTTGGAGGGAGGAACACAGCTCACAACATTAAGCCCATCTACAGCTACTACTCCTGAGAGCTAGACTACCATCTGCAGTGTGACCCATACCAGCTGCTGGGGAACTTAAAAAGGAGATGGCTCATGCCCCATCTGCAGGCTGCAGAGAGACATCCAGTCTGCCACTGTAAGAAACAGGAAACCAGACTCCACAGGCCTTTGCTCTAAGCCAACAGACCTTCCATACGTCCTGAGTATTACTTTGCTTTCCTTAGAACAAGTGGGCTTTCTGATACATACATTTATGGAGATTGTACTGAATGATTAAGTGGCCAACACTTCTTTAACTGAGTAAACTGAACCTGATTCTACACAGTTGCTAGAAGGCTTTGTTATTAGTCGCAAAGTTGTGTCCAACCCATCGCGACCCCATGGACAACATTCCTCCAGGCTTTCCTGTCCTCCACCATCCCCCGGAGTCCACTTAAGCTCACACCCACTGCCCCAGTGACTCCATCCAGCCACCTCATTCTCTGCCGTCCCCTTAATCTTTTGCCCTCTATTGTTCGCAGCATTAGGCTCTTCTCCAGGGATTCCTTCCTTCTCATTAGGTGTCCAAAGTATTTGAGTTTCATCTTCAGTATTTGGCTTTCTAAAGAGTAGTCAGGATTGATGTCCTCTAGGACTGACCGGTTTGATCGCCTTGCAGTCCAAGGGACTCACAGGAGTCTCCTCCAGCACCACAATTCAAAGGCCTCAGTTCTTCAGTGCTCAGCCTTCCTTATGGTGCAGCTTTCACAGACATACATTGCAACTGGAAAAACCATAGCCTTGACTACACACTTTTGTTGGCAGGGTGATGTCTCTGCTTTTTAGTATGCTGTCTAGATTTGCTATAGATTTCCTCCCCAGGAGCAAGCATCTTTTAATTTCTTGGCTGCAGTCCCCATCTGCGGTGATCTTGGAGCCCAGGAAAATAAAATCTGTCACTACCTCCATTTCTTCCCCATCTATTTGCCAGGAAGTGATAGAATATGCTGGATCATGGAGAAAGCTAGGGATTTCCAGAAAAACATCTACTTCAGCTTCATTGACTATGCTAAAGCCTTTGATTGTGTGGATCACAACAAAGTGTGGCAAGTTCTTAAAGAGATGGGAGTACCTGACCATCTTATTTGTCTCTTGAGAAACCTATATGCGGGTCAAGAAGCAACTGTGAGAACTGGACACGGAACCACTGATTGGTTCAAAATTGAGAAAGGAGTTCGGCACGGCTGTATACTGTCGCCCTGCCTATTTAACTTATATGCAGAGCACATCATGAGAAAGGCGGGGCTAGATGAATCACCAGTTGGAATTAAGATTGCTGGGAGAAATATCAACAACCTCGGATATGCAGATGATACCACTATCATGGCAGAAAGTGAAGAGGAACTAAAGAGACTCTTGATGCGGGTGAAGGAAGAGAGCGCAAAAGTTGGCTTGAAACTCAACATTAAGAAAACTAAGATCATGGCATCCGGTCCTCTGTTGCACAGTAAATAGCAAGGCTGTGGTCAAATAGTAAATATTCATCTGTATGGGAGCATTCCCCCCACCCCAGCTTTTGGCTAAGCTAAGGGCAACAGGGTTGAGAAAATCATTGCCACTGTCACGGCATCCTTCAGAAGACACTTAGGAGAACTGACCCACCTAGCCAAAGCTCAGTTTTACAATAGGCTCTTCTCTTAGCATTTCTCATACCAAGAAGAGAGAAAAGTAGTCAACATTTACCTTTATGTCCATGTCAGGGTGGACAAATTCCTTCAGGCACTCAATGGGGCCCATCAGGAAAGGGCAACGGCTAGTGAAGACCTGCCAAGAACCAGAATGCGAGACAGGATGAAAGGGAGGTGAGGCGTTTGCTTGGCTGGCTTGCGGTGATGCTCTCTTCCCTCCCCATCTTTTCCACAGGTCCTTCATCAGCCTGAAGGGTCTCCCTGCAGCACCACCAAAAAGAGACCCAAGCAGGAGGAAGGAAGAGTTCCCTTTGGGTGCCAACTGTGCATTTACACCCACACCACACAGACGTGCAAATCCTTACCTCTCTAAGGCCCTCCTGGGCCATGGTCCGGAACCACAGAATCTCTCCAATGATGGTCATCCTCTTCAATACATTTTCTGTCGCTGGGAGAGACAACACAGGGATCAGTCCTGATTTTGTAAGCACGACAAAACAATGATATACAGAACCTGCTTGGGATTGATCTGTGAAAAGTGGTCTGACCACAAAGGCCAGAAATCCCTCTCAGGATGTGCCATACAACCAACATGATTCGGATTCTGGCTGTATGGCACGTACATGATTCTGCTGCATGCCACAGCGGAAACCCTTAGGGTGGTCCTCCTTCTAGAACCCACATCTTGTGGCCAGAGCAAGAGAATGATTTGAGTTACAGCCATGTTTTTTCTGTTTTCAGAAAGGGAGATCAGTCAGTGCTCCTTTGCTCCGAAACAGTAGGCATTCTCTGAGATTTTCCTTTATTTATATACTTCCATAATTTCTGTATTACCCAATAGCCAAAACTCTCTTGTCAGTTCACAAGAGTTAAAAATCCAAATTATACTATGACAGAATATAAAGGAGTTTTGTAAAAAGCCAGAATAAAGGCAGCAGCAAAATAATGAGGTATGCAATCCCATAGCTGCTCGGTGCTCTGTAGCTGGCCATAAGATAGGTCCAAGCCCTAGCACTGAAGCTGGAGGCAAGTTCCAAGGTCAGAACTGGGACTCCAATTGCAAAGCACCCTCCTGGCTCCATCACAGTTTGTATAGTTCTTTCTGCACTGGGCAGCAGAGAGAGGAGCAGTGAATCATTGACATGATAATGAGGAATTTCAGTGGTGCCTCAGCACCCCCATTACAGGGCAGCCTGAAGCAAAAGACATAGGACTAAAAGAGAGCATTATGCTAATAGGTGACTTCTACACAAATTTAACAAATAAATATAATGCACCTGGGGGGAGGGTGTTCCACAACTGGAGTGACTCTACTGAAAGGGCCCTTTTCTTAACAGCTGTCCATCTTATTTAGAAAAGGCCCTCCAAAGAAGCCTCTAGCATCCAGGTAGATATATAGAGTTGATATGGGTAACAGCTTCCAGTGATGGCTCAGTCTGCAATACTACTTTGAGTTTATAGAATCAACTTCATGGTCACAAGATATGCCTGATTTCTGAACCTTTTGGTTTCTTCCCACCATCCCCTCCTTTAGTCCTGCATAGCTATACATCGAGTTAGCATGTTGAGTCACCTTTACTAAGCTGGAAAGGCATGGGCCTGCAGCAGATGGATGACCACAAGTGGAAGTGCAGCAGGGTGGATGGCCTTATACACCCCTCCTATCCTATCCTATCTTATCCTTTTGTGGCATTTTGGTTACTCCTTCTAAAGGTACTTTTTAATTGTGGTTCTGGGATTATCCTTCTTCAATTTTGGAACTTTTTAAAAGCTCCTTGGCTATCTTTTTCCTAAGTAATCCTTCTGGTAGGCTTACAGAACATTTCACAACATATACAGATCTGTGCTCCTGAAGCCCTTTGCCTATTTGAAGCAGCTCACAAATCACAAAGTCCTACTTCAGCTGTTCCTTCAAAAAAGGAAGAGCAAAGAGCTCTCACTCCAAACTCAACCCACGAAATGGTTATCCAGTAGTTTCTGGAGTGGCAATGGAAGAAGAAGGCTGGGCAGAATCCTGACCTGTTAGACGGGGCAGTAGAGTTGCCATCTGCTCTGGAGAAGAGAAGTTAGATCGAATCTGAACGAGTACATCCATATTCTCCATCACTAGTTTCTAGAAGAACGGAAGTCTGATTATAGCACGTGGGGATTTCAGAAGCGAATCTTTCTTGACAGGAGAGACCAACACCAGCCCAGTTCCTGAAGTTTTGCATACTACAGCCATGTGAGGTGAAGAGATAGACCCATCACACTCTGGGATGCAGGAATGGGCTCCATGCTGACAGGGAGGCTGAAGGGGAGCTAAGCTGATCCAAGTGGGCAACCACAGAGTGAGTACCAGCCTGACCATGGAGCCAGGGGACAGTGGCGCCTTCCCATTGTCCTGATGCTCTCAGCTTTGGGTCTCCAAATACTCCTCAGCCAGGAGAAGAGACAATGGCCTGCATGGCAGGATAAAAGAACAAGCCGGAGCCTGTACTCACAAGAACAAAAGTCCAGAAGCGGATGTGTGTGTGGCTGTGGCTTGATCCGCTATTAGGAGAGAACTGTAACAAATCTTCTCTAGCTGCAGTATTTATTAAGCACTCCTGACTCCTCACCCAGGTTGGTCTGTGGGTACTTTACCAACATCCTCCTCCTGCAGGGCTTCTTCCATGCTATCTAAGCATTTCCCCATTTTTTTTCTTTTACATAGAGGAAAGAATGCTATTATTTCCCAACTGCTGAATGAAACAGAAGATGAAGCTCTGGTATTTTTGCCACTCCACTCTAACGGAGGGACACCTTGTGCTTGTGTTATGCAGCATACAGAAAGAAGGAGAAAAATGCACAGGGGGAAAGGTATGATCTTAATCCTGCAATGCCTTGGCAAAGGGGTGGGTTAAAAGTCTCATGTAGAAAATCCTTGGAGCATTGAGGATTTGGCAAATGGTTGGTAGCCAAACCTTTCCTCTCCCTCCCTGCTGAGGCCTTGCCAAATGGGTTGATGCAATAAAAGAAGAGAACCTTAAGGGAGGTGCATGACATCTCACTGCACATCAGGACAGCTCTCCATCCTTAATTGCATTGGGTGGGTGACTGCCTTGGCCTTGTGGGCACATGAGACTGGAGGAATCGGTAAAGGAAGCAGTAGCCCAGCACAAAGGAAACTCATTGGTCCTGCTAATAATTTTCAACTAGCACAGACAAAGACTGGGAGAAGCTCATTCTGACAACAGGTAATCCCATTTGAGCCTGCATATCCCTCCCCATGGGAATTTCCAGCAGCAGGTCCCTGTGCTAGCCAGCAGCCCTGTTCTACTAGTCACAGCATGAGCCCAAGGTGTGCTGCAAGAAAGCAAATCCCAGCATGCTTCTGTCCCTCCTGGCTACGCACCTTCAATTCCAGCATCTGCGAGGTAATATGCCACATGAGGTTGTCACTTAGGAACTTCATTCCGTAGGGCCCAAGCAGCTCAGCCAGTGCTCGCATCTCTGCAAGGGCGGGAAAGGTGTTGGTTGGCCCATTTCAAAACCCAACAGTACAATAAGCATACTAGAGGTCTTTGCAGCGTGACCTCTCTTTTGACTGCTTTCCCATGACACATGTTAAGTGTTGGTTCCTCCTTTGACTATGGAGCCATGCAAGTAAATGGGAAGGCAGATAAGTATTATATTCCACCCACTTCATTCTGTGTGACCTTTCAAGTGCTCATTGGCTCTCAAGCCTGTCTTGGTAAGCATGTCGCAAGCCGAGCCGGCTGGAGCCGGGGGTCAGACTAGATGGCCCGGGAGACCCCTTCTGACTCGCTCTGTTTCTATGTTTCTGATTGGCTGGAAAACAGTTTTGAGACATACCCACCGACCCTGTCCCCGCTGCTAACCACCACTGCTGCGGACATTAGACAGAGAAGCAGCAGCAACCCTTCCACTCCATTCACATCCAAGTCCCACTGAACTTTGAAACAAAGAAAGAGTCTAGTGACTCTCACTGACTTTGTTTTTCCTCCTCCCTCCCCACCCCTTTTCCTTTCAAGTTGTGTCTTTGAGATTTTAAGCCTGAGGGCAGAGATCAGGGCTTTTTTTTGTCATAGAACCGGAACAGCGTTCCAGCACCTTTTTTTGAAGTGATTGTGAATCCCCTGTTGGGCGTAGCAGATCGGCAGCAAAAATCATTAACACAGTGCCTGCGGGCTGCTTGTGTGCAGCGCTGATTGTCGACGCTGATTGTGAGGGCTGCTCGGCTTGGGATCGGTCGTGTGGTCGCAGCAAGTCAGCGACAAGGCCTTCATCCAGCGCTCCGAGCTCACCATCCACCAGCGCACCCACACCGGTGAGAAGCCCTACAATTGCAGCATCTGTGGCAAATGCTTCAGCCGCAGCCCCCCCCCTCAACCGCCACCAGCGCACCCATGGCAAGGACAAGGCCTCGGCTGGCCCCGGGGCAGCGCCTGCCACCGGGCCCGCCAAGCCTGCGACCCCGCTGCCCTCCTCGGCCTCCTTCGCGTCCCCCAGCCCTCTCCCGGCCTTGCCCTCCTTCCCCTCCTCCCTCCCCATCCCTGCTCTGGAGCTGCCCTGGTCTCTCCCCTTCTCCTCCCGAAGCTTTTCCCATTCGGCGTTCCCGTCTCCCGCCCCGTGGGGCTCAGACCTCTTCTCCAATAAACAGCCACCTCCCCTACTCTCTGCTTTCCATGCCCGGCGGTCTCCCTGCCGGGACAGCCTGCCTGCTCTGCCCGGGCCTGCTCCCAGCCCGCTTGTCTGTGGACGAGGGCCACCTCCTCACCTTCCCCCATCCTGGCGGCTTGGGCCTTGCAGGCTGCATCCAGACACCAGTCTCTGGGGAGCGCCCGCAGCCCTCCCGGGGCAGCATTTCCTTTGCAGGAGGTGAAATCATTTCACTCCCAGAGAGAACCATGATGCGGGGAGGCCACACTGAGAAGATCTTGCCCCCGTGCTGGGGAACTTGCAACCCTCCAGATCTGGGGAATTGCTATTCCCATCTTACTTTGCCAGCAGGTAGGCTGGTTGGGGCGATGGGAATTATATCCCAGCAATGTTCGAGGGTGTGTGGGGGGGAGGCTGCAGGTGCTTCTGCTGTACTCTGAGCTTGAGAATGATGCAAAGGAACAGCCATACATTCACTTTCTTGCACACGCGCGCACACAAACCCCCCTGCAGTCTGAAATGTTAGAGCCCAACCAACTGAGAGACTCTGCAGCGGGGGCGGTTTGCTTGTGGCCATCCAGATGTTGCTGGGCTCCATTAGTTTGAGACAAGTTTGCTAATGGAGGGGGAAGATGAGAACTGTAGTCCAACATCACCTGGAAAGCCGCAGCCTTCCCTCCTTTGGTCCACCACCTCCACCATTTTGCCCTGTTACAAGAGGACATAAGAGCGCTCAGCTGCCCATTCGCCCTCACTCACCACCCGCTTTTGTTTACACAATCAAGGTGATTTTCAGAGAGTGGCACAGGGCTTGTTTATGCCTCTAAAGCACAGGAGGGCACCCTCCAGTCTGGACCTCAGGTGGCCCATGGAAGTGGCTTGTTCAGCCCACGGTCGCGTGAGTGCTTACTGCCGGTGGCAACCATTGTGTAAAAGTGTGACCCCAAGATGTGAGTTCTGGCACCTTTTTTTTTTTTTTTTATACAAAAAAAACACTGACAGAGACTATCTTATTTCTCATCTTTGCAAGCTACACTAGGAGAGTTTTTGGCACGGCATAAACCGTAGGTCTCCTGATTATTATATGGCTAACAGATCAAATCACAATCCTGAATATTCTGGAAGTGAATACAAAACATCCAGGTAAGGCTATACTATTAAGCCCTGTGTCACTTGACTTCCTCAGCCCCAACTCCCATCTTCCCTTGCTCGCTCCTCTCTTAGCTTGCTATGCCCTGGGCTCAGACAGCATGATAACTCACATGCAAGGGTTGAGAACGGTTGCAGGCAAACCCACAGTTCAGTGATAACCTGCATTCAACTCATACTCAGCCTCTGAGTGTGGGCTATTGTGTCATCTGAACCCATTCGCTGTCTCTTCACTGTATCAGCTAACCCCACCCTGGAGGACTCAGAATTTTCCTGCGCCAAGAAGTCAGACTCACTTGCAGATTTCACAGCCGCCACTGGGCAACAAGGTCCAAGGCCACCTTGAAGGAAAACCACTCAAAAGCACAGCTCAGCTCCTGATAGAGGTGCTGACCTCACACCAAGAGGTGCTGCAGCCACTCAGTCCTAGGTGCTCGCAGGTGCACACATACCTGAGACATCAGAAAACTCTTCTGCACTGAAGGTTTGCTCCCCTTCCTTGGGTATACTGACAAAGGCTTGCATTGCTGGCGACAGGATGATGGAGCCCATGCTGGCCTGGCGCAAGAGCGATTCCAGGTACCTGGAAAGAGGCAGCAAAGAAAACCTGTTTGAGGTTCAGTATTGTACTCTCAAACTGGTAGAGGCAGATGTGTTAGGGGGAGGAAAAGAGTGGGGAAGCCATGCTCGGAGGACTTTGCTCCATAGCAATGGCATGAATGGCTGTCACATCCAGCCCTGCCTCCCTCTCTTAGTGCTAGCATATCCCTCCCAAAGGAAGGAAGGAAGGACAGAAAGATTCAGCCCCACCTTAGTGGTATGAATGCCGTTTTTCAGTGGTTAGCCCCCCACCCAACCTGGCACTTCTACGGATGCTTGGGGATACAACTCCCAACATCCCCAGCCAGCATGGTTATTCTGTTATGAGCCACTGCAGTGTAGTGGCTAAAGTGATGAGCTGGGGAGGCCTTGACTCAAGTTCTCATTCAGCCATGAAGCTTACTTTGGGTTGGTCACTGACAGTCAGCCTGTCCTACATCACAAGGTTGTTGTGAGGATAAAATGGAGGTGGTGGATCATGGGCACCACTTCAGGATCATGGAGAAAAAGGCAGGATATAAATGTGGCAAATACAATAAACCACATGAATAATAAATCCATTAAATATAAAACATGATAGATAAATAAATCAGGATCAAATATTTACTTTTTTAGCCAATAAATAATAAGAATGGCTGACAGCAGCCAGCAAGGCCATATTGTTGCTCAACACAACAAGAAGGCCCCAGGGTCGGAGAATGCTGGGTTGTAAAGAGCCCTCTGCACATGCTCAGAGGAACTCTCTTTATGAATACTGCAAATATTCCAGGGCCGAGCCTTAGCAACCCCACCACAACCGAATGAGTCTGCAACCTGATTGCACCCTGCTTTCTGGAGCACTGTGGCCCCAGTGTCCCCTTCTTGCCTCTGCCTCATACCAATTGGTGTAGAGTGTGGTGAGGGTCTGTTCGCCGTTCACATCCAGCGGCTGGGTCTGCTGCAGGAGCACGCCACGGAGCAGGCGCCCGACATCCATCCCCACACGGTGCATCAGTGACAGCAAGGAAGTGGCATAGGCTTGCACACCTGCCAGCACTTCCGAGGGGCGGCTTAACTCCGGAGAGCTCGGGTTTAGCTTCGCCAGCCGCACCAAGGATCTGGGGGACGGGGAGCAGGGGATGTGAGAGGCATTTGGAAGTACCCCCGCCCACAAGACCAAAGGAAGCACAGCAAAGTGGCAGCATCCACACTCTCAGCTGCCATCAGTCCGTGTCTATCCTTCAAGCCATCGTCTCCCCAGGACAGTGCTATGCTGTATAGCTTAAGGGGCTTTCTGAATGAGTGTGGATGGCCAGGTGATGGACTCAGGAATGTAGGTCACTCCCACCTGCATGTGTGGGAATGAAATGCAGCCATTAAGGGAGTCAAAAATCTGAGCTTTGCAGCTGGGTGCCAAAAGCAAAGTCAAGCAGAGCTGCATGGGCTGAATGCAGCTGCTGCTGGACAACCAGTGCAGCTTTAAAGATTAGCACCGTTTGAGGATCTGCTTTCCTTTGCTCAACTAATTAACCTGCATGAACCTGACCACACTTGCTCTTCATTCAGATGCTTAAAGCTTTCTTAGGCTGTAGCATGTTCAGCTCAGGAAAAGGAATCTTCCCAGACCACTTCCACTCTCTTTATTTCTGCACTACCCTTCTGCATTTGCTATACTCAAAATTAGGGTTGGCAACCTGGTGTGCTGGACAACCTGGACAATTCCCATGGTCCACTAGTATTGGCCATGCTGCTTGCAAGTGATGGGCATTCTAGTCCAAAACACCTGGAGAGCCCCAGGTTGCTTCTACCTGCTCAAAACAGTTCACACACAATGCAGTACTGACCAGGCACATAGACAATATGTTGTTATCTGTGGTATTTCTATAACAAAGACAATTCAAAATTCATATTATCCAACTTTATAATACGGATATACAAATTTTTAAAAAATCCAAATCAAAATACCAAAACCATTATTTCTTACTTCCTCCATAATTGAAAGGGAGCCCAGACCTTGCCAGCAGGTGCAATGGGAGCACAGCTCCGCTCACAGACAAGGAGAGAATGGCACGCATGCCTTCTTTGCTTGCAGAACTGCTGTGCTTTGCTGCCACAGCAAGTTCAGCAGCAGCAGCAGCGTGGCTGAAAAGTGGGTGAGAGGAACCACATGTGGCCTGTGCATTGCTCGTTTCTGTCTCATGGAAGGGGAAAGGGAGGCACAGACCAGTTCTCAGATCATGTATGTCAGGAAAAGCATGAAGCATGCTCTGACTCAGACGGTAAATGGAAAAATCTCTCATGGGCAAAGAAGGAGAGATTGAAAGAACTGGGCATTCTTAGAGAAGACTGAGGGGAGATGTAATAGCATGGCTGTGCAGGTTGGAACAATGGGAGTTGTGGTCTACAACATGTGGAGAAGGCTGATGTACCACATGTACCCTCTGCTCTTGTGGACCCCACGTCACTGCCCTATCACTTCAGCTGTGGTCTTCCCACCCCATACCTGCCGAGGCGGATCTCCAGCTGGCTGTTGAGGTATTCCACCGGAGTCACAGTGTGCTCAAAGACAACAAAGCTGGCTGTTTGGTTCAGGGTCCAGCAAAGCTCAGTAAGTGTCAGGTGCAGCTTGTCCAGGCTGTGGGGAGGGAGAGAAACAACCACTGATACTGGGTCAAAATCATCAAAATCCATGACATTGTTTGGCAATGGAGACACACACATCAAGAAGCACTTCACAATCCAGATTCCAGAAGCAACCAAAAGGTTCGATGTAAGTGGATTTTTCAGCAGGAAAAACCCACCTCCACCACCTTCTGAATATTTAACTGATAAAAATTGTTCTTCAGATGTGTCCTTTTTTTAATCCTATTGCTTGCCAATCCTGGAGACTCTGAACTTTTCTACATGAGGCTGTTAATCTGCTGTTCCTACATTCAATTTCCTCAAAGAATCATGCACTATGCAAAGAGGGTCCCTTGCAAGAGGAAGAAAGATGAAGTAAAAAGGTAATAATAGTAATATGTGAAAAGCTTTTGCTTTCCTACTTTTCCATTATATAACTTTTAGGTGGCACTGTGGACTACTAGAACAGTAGAACATACAAGCAAAAAAACCCAACCCCTTTCACTGTCACAAATAGTTACTGCGTTACTCTTGTGATGTGTGGTCTAAAGAAACTGTAACTGTCATGAGTAAAGAATGATGGATGCACAAAAAATCCCTCATCTAGAAAGCTTCTGTGTGTACCTTGTAGGGTGCATGGAACACAGAAACCTAAGAAAAGCCCTGCTGGATCAGACGAAAGGTCTTGCACTTCATACACATGGTTGCAAGCCAGCTGCACACAGGATCCCTTATGCAAGATGGGTGCAAGGCCTCTGCCTGCCCGAGTTTCTTGGCAGAGGGTGCATGCAGGCAGGCCGCCTCTGGTGAAGGAGACAGCACACAGCCAGCAAGGCTAGTAGCCACTGATTGCCTCCACTGCATCTCTATTTACCTGTCTGTCGAGAGAGAGCGAGAGCGATGGGGGAAATACAACATGAGTGGCGGATGGAATGGGGAGGCTATATCCAGTCTGCAGACTCAAGGCTTCCTGTTGCTGCCCAAACAAGATGAGAATTGTGCCCACCTTGATCAATAAGGGCCTTCACAAGCCACCCCACAATTTCTATTCCTCTAATCCTTCCTAGGGGATTCATAGGACACATCGTCCAAAGTCAGGAACTTAATCTGGCCTCAGATCTCATTTGAAGCAGAAATGCAAGGCTGAAATATATTCAAAAGTTTGTCAGTTCAGTGCTGCTGCTATGAACTCAATCTCTGCCATGCATGTAGGTTCGTGACCTTACGTGGTGACCAGCGAGCGGTCCCTCCGGTGGCTCTCGGCCCCAGGCTTATCCCTCTCTGGCTCTGCTTTCTTGGCCGATGCTTTGGGGGCTCTCTTGCTCCGGGCCTTGCTGATGGTGGCAGCACAGTGCTTGGGCAAGAGCTGGGAAGGTGATAGAGACAAGGGCATCATGTGGCTGTGTCACAAACACAATGGTAACCAAGTGGGTGAGACACTGGGGAGGGCAGAGACAGGCAGGTACAGAAAGCCAGGTGCGAGTGAAGCCAAACCAACTGCAGGCACCGAGTAATATGTAAGCCAACCCATTCCTGGCATATTCTCCTTCCAAATGCTGCCCCCTTCCTTTGAGGGCACCTCATATCCTGAAAATATGTATGTATGTATTTAAAACTTTGGTAGACCATCCCTTCACAGATGTCTCAGGACAGTTTACAACAGATTAATAAAATGGAATAAAAATAGAAATGAGAGTAGCAGTTGCACAGCATCCAATGTTAAAATATAAAACCACTAAAAAAAACAGGTTAACAATTAAAATATTGGGAGAATAAAAAGGTTTTTGCCTGATGCCGAAAGGAAAGAAGCATTGGTGCCAGGTGAACCTCTCTGAGGAGCATGTTCCACAATTGGGGTGCCACTGCAGAGAAGGCCCTCCCCTCTGGGTAGTCACTCTCCTGATCTCTTTCAAGGATGGCTCCTGGAGGAGGGCCTCTGACTCAGATTTCAAGGGGCAGGAGGGCACATAGGCAAGAAATAGCAGCACAATGCTGGAAGATATGAAATTGCCCAAATGGGACCATCTCTTTCCATGCTCGCACATAATTCCTCTCTAAAATGCTCCGTGGGTATCACTTGGCTTTAGGCTTTGGGGTGCCATTTATACACAAAGAGCAGCAGTGTGGCAGGCACATTTCCAAGGGCTTCTTCGATGTTACTGCTGCCGTGATCAAATTCTCCCAGCCATATGACGAACCATGCAGGTCCTTTCCACTGGACCCCCCACCACTAAACCCAGTCTTGCCACTGGATACATCACCCCACTGACACTGCAGACATCAGCTTCAGCTGCCTGAAAAGACTGAACTGGTCACTAGCTTTGCCCCTGCCCCTGCCATTGATTTGCACCTATTTTCAGAAACTGGACTAGCCACTGATCCAGTGCCCCCTTCTCTGTTCCCTCCATCAGCCCCCTATGCCCAGTTCCAACCACCCATGAAGGTAATGGCTCCATACCTGCTCGCTCAATTTGCAATGCTCAGCAGAAGCATCCAGGATGTATGTGCAAGCAAGTCGAGCAATCTCTTCCAGGAAGTTGTTGCACAGTCCCAAGGCACGGTTCCGCAGGTGAGGGAGCTGGAGTGGGGAAAGAAATATGTACCTGAGATGCCATTCTTATCAATTGCACACCTGCTTGTAGGTAGCAGCCCACAGTGGTCATTTACAGAATGTGTATCCTGCCTTTCTGCTGATGAATGATGTTCAAGATGCTCAACAATAACATCTAAATTAAAAGCAAACGTTGAGTTTAGACAACACAATAACCCACATTGAAGAGTTGATGTGGGTTGCTGCTGAAATGGAGGTAATTGTGTTATCTGAACACAGGCATGATAACATGCCCTGGCTAGATAACCATGAGCAATCTGCAGATCACTGCCAAACCGTGAACTTTCTTCATGGGATGCTCATGTAATAAACCATGGTTGTTCACACAGCTTGGATCAGATAACACAACATTACAAACCACACTTGGCCTTTCAATTAAAACATAAGAGGAAAAACAGATAAACTAGGAAGGAAGGAAGGAAGGAAGGAAGGAAGGAAGGAAGGAAGGAAGGAAGGAAGGAAAGAAGGAAGGAAGGGTACCAGTTGATTATTAATCCCTCTGGAAACAGACCTGCTTGAATAAAAATGTATTTGCCTACTATAGAAGGACAACAAAGGGAATCCCAACCAAGCCTTTCTTGGCAAGAAGTTCCACAGCATGTTCTAGTTCGTTGTCACAAGACAGGGACAAAAGAGTGGCTTTGTAAAGACCTGCTCTTGCTCCTGGCATCCTTTAGCTATGTAAAGCATACAGCACATTGATAAATGGACAAATTGTGTGGCTTGGAACTAGTGGATGGGATTTACTCTTGGGTAACTGAGCACAAGACTGAGGTCTAACAACATTTCTACTGTTATGTTTAATAAGGTAAACTTCCTAGTAATTATGTTATAGGCTGCAGGCTGAATTATGGAACAAAGTAATTAAACAAGATAAACTATGCATAGTTAATTGGTTTGCATAATCCACACAGGGAAGAACATTCCCATTTTTTGGTTTTAGAACCTGGATTACCTTGATGTGGAATAATACATTACTCTTCTGAAAGAGTATACATATTCACAGATGGGCTCTAAAGCCACCCTGTGATGCAGCCCGGTAAGGTCACCTGCCCGCCATGGTTTCCATTTTCAGTGGGGCTGCAGCTGCTTACCTCTAGCTCTAGCTCTTTTCTACCCTGCTCCCCTTCCTCACAATGACCAAATGCATACACACCTCTTCAGGGCACAAAGGGTTGGAGGCATGGCTGAAATCGGCTGTCAGAAGTGGGAACACAATGGCATAGCGCAACATAGACGGTTCCTCCATGGTGGATGCAAATAACTTCTCCAGGAGACGCACGTAGAAACTGTCAAAGGTTTGGAGATACCAGATTTTATGGCAAGAAGGAGCATCCAACTGCACATGCTCCTGGGTACCAATGTGTGCTGGGATGAATGTAAGAACCATAAGAAACTTGGAGCCAAATCTTAAATCATAATGCCTGCACTAGGCCATCTGTTCTGTGCTTTTATTTAATGGACTTTTAGAACGCCATTCAGGATGAATTACCCATCCACGTGGTTTACAATAGCCTGTAGTTTTCCTACATTGTGCACATGGGGCTGATACCTTGAGATTGATGTGACACCTTCCAAATAAAACTTCGGAAGGTTTCCAACAGCACACAAAAGCACAATCTGAGCCGGTGGTGAATCTTTTGCATGCAACTTTTGTCATTTGCAACATGCAGGAAATCTGCAATCTGTCTAGTAAAAAATTGCAATCACCATGAGCAAATGTGGCCATGAAAGGTACAGTAAGATTTCATCCTTCAAAAACCCATTAAGTTCCTAGTCCACATGGGTATTGCAGAGAAATTGGTTCAAAAAACTTGTGAACAATTACTTCAGCAAGTACAGAGGGAGATTTTCTACAAAAAGAAGTTAATCCATTGTTAATTGCCTGCTGTAACTACATTCAGTTTCATCACAGGATTGAGACCTGAGCACAATACACAAAGCGTTACCTTTCCTGTTTTTCTACTACATAATCTCTAGCTAGCAACACAGTATAATGGAATAGTGTAAATACACAAGTGGAAAAAGTGGTATCTTGTGTTTTGAGCATAAATTCCTCATTTTCCTTGATCTTTAAAAAAACCTCACTGAAACCACTGACTGGACCCAGAAGTGAAACTGCAGGGCCACAAAGTCATCTAAAAAACTATAAATAATCATGAGTGTACAATAAATGTCTCGTGTGGAAAGGCCCAGGAATGAAAATGCTCTGAGCGATGATTTACATATTCTGGATGTGCGACTTTCCGCACTTAGCACCATCGACAGAGACTTCTAGTGATCTCCTCTTGTCCGTTCCTTCCTATTTTTATAGCAGTGGTAAACAAGCTGTTTGCCATGTTTGCTACAAATGAGTCCCAAGGTATGAGACACTGGTGCTCGAGGATCACTGTCTGTTCTGCTGTCAGGATTGTCTTCCACTGCCCCAAGTACACACCAGAATACAGAGAGGTCTGATGTCTCCACAATCAGCTCTTCCACGGAATCCAGCATCTTAGTGTGAAAGATGATGAGGTTCATCACCTTGGCGATGTCGTGGTTTTCTCGCAGCTGCAACGGGGCCTTCATGACACTGGTATATGCCTGGTGGAAGAAAGAAGCTGTTCCCACTAACCCTTCTCCCTAAATATTTAGAGTGGGGCAAGACTACTGTAACATGCAGGGTGACTGGGCCAGTTCATCACCTGATTAACCAACACACAACTCCCACTTGGATGCGTAAACTGTCTTAAGTGAGCAGAAATGCATTTGAAGAGCTAACTGGATGCTCAGAAAGCTTTCAAATATTTATTCCATGATGGATCACTCCCACACTAAGTTATCACTAGCCACTACACTTTATCCATGTCAAATCTGTGGGCCTGAACTATCCCTGGGACAGCTAAGAAGAATGGGGAAGAACTCCTTAACCACAATGGCAGCCCTTCCCAATGGATGGGCTAGCTGAAAAAGCAGGGAAGCAAAGACTGGATAGAAATGTCAATCTGATGCACATGGGGTTGTATCTGGAACCCAACAAAAGGCTGACAGGCAAAAAGTCTGAGAGTTTGCTCAAAAATGCAGCCTGAGATCACATTTGAGAGGTCTCTAGATTCTTCCCTTCCAGGGGACACTGCGACAGAGGGATGGCCCCATCCATAAGTGGCTAGATAGGCAGACACATCACATGCACTGATACATATACTAGTGCTTCATGTTACCCTCACCACATGAGAGCAGCCTGGCACCACTAAATATTCTGCAGACTTCCCCACCAACAGGCAGAGAAAGTTGGAGGAGATTTAAACTTAACACACAGGGAAAGGGAGCGTCTGACTTGTGCATTTTATCTAGTTCTTTCTGTTTCTCTCTCTCTCTCTTCCACATTCTAAGGAAGACTGGTTTTAGAAGAAAGAGATAAGCAGAGATAAACAAAGACCAGTCAATGATCTGTGACACCCTCCTGTTTATACTGCCTGTTGGTCCAAGAAGTCTACTGAGAATTCTGCCAGGCTTCCCTTCCATGGTGGAGGAGCCGAGCCACAATTTGTGATAGCCCCAAGTTGGGAGTACAAAATCCAGATAAGCAGCAAGCAGTCTAAACAAGCTGGAAGCCAGATTGACCAGGGTGTCCCAGGGGGCAGAGTGTGGAGCCGAATCAAAACCTGGCAGGGGATTTTACCTGCAGCCTAAACCAATCCAGCCGAAGTGCATTGAAATCAAATTTCTTCTTCTCTTCAACTGCAAACAAAGCATGAATGAAGTCAAAACTAGGAAAAGCCACAGGATTCTCTTCCACTGTGTAGGCCTTACAGATGGGAAAATCTAGGGCTGAAGCGGGAAGATAAACCACATACATAGAATGGTTTTTCTTCTGGCGGCTCTCTCAAGACTGGAGGCAGTAACCTGTTCAGCACTACATAGTTCACATTGCATCTAATGCAATGCCAACAGCATTAGCCAGTGCAACGACTTCTCCCAAAACACCCATTGCACCAGCAAACAAGATCAAAGCTTATGCTAGCAAAATCTAATTTATGTTACCACTAGTGCTACACAGGATACTGCCCTTGTTATGCACAATAAATTCCTTTATTCCTGGAGGAAGCAGGTTCCATTTCTGCTAAATATACAGCCAAGCAGCTTGGCTCCTGCCCCCTCATCATCCAGTCAAGTCTGCACAGAGTTTAAAATATGTACGTGAAAGTTTTCACAGACAGATCTCAAGAGGCCAGAGAGCTGATCAGGAAGTTATATTCTTTCACCCTCTCCTATCGCTAACATAAAAGGATTAGCACAGAATGGCAAAGCAAATTCTCATAGCAAAAATCTAATCCTTTTGTGGTATGCCATTTGAGCTACTCTCATATGGGGAGAATTAAATAGGGTGTTTAAACACAAGAGAATTAAACATGCATGCACATTCGCGCGCGCACACACACACACACGCGCGCACACGGCGACCTCCAGCTGACAGAAGACTTACCTTGCTTGATAGTTATGGATGAGAGTGAGCTCACAAAGGATGACATAATCACAGACTCCTCTTCTGGGCACACAGTCAGGTCCTGCGAGAAGCAAGAGGGCTCAGAGAGGTGACAATGGCTTATTTGTGTGGATGTCATTTATTCACACTGGATTTTAATGAGCCAGATTCTTTCAATGGTTTCAACTCTACTTCACCTCTTGTGCCCTCAGACAGAGAAGAGACACATGATTTTTTAAAAACAAGCTTCAGGGGGATGAAATGATCCCTCTTCACTCTGTTCTCGAGTTTCTGGTGTGCGGAGCATCTTCTGCCTTATTGTGCCATGGCAGAACTTGCAAGGCTGACTTTTGCTAAGCCAGACTGATCTAAACCAGTATTTTCAATCCCGGGCCAGCAGCATCCCTGCAAGGCCCTAGCTGCAACTAGCAATAGCAAGCAAAAACCTCAAATGGAAAACTGCTCCAACACCTGTAATCTGGAATTCTTTTCCTTGAATAGGCCAGGAACTGAATCTATAAGGTCCCACTGTGTACAGATCAGGGGCTTTATCCCTGAAAATTGGTTCAAACATCTTGACCTTTCCTAGCCATTTGTGCCTTTCTTTCACATCCCCTCGGGACCAAGGAGACTTAATGCAATGGGAAGCTCTCAGAGAGTTCCACATAAGCCCAACAGGTACGTCTCTTCCTTCTTCTCTCTTGCAGTTTCCCTACCTGGATGGCACTGCTGAGCACCTGGGCATCAAAGTGTGACAAGTACTGTGCATGATAGCGCTGGAGGACTTTTTGGTGCTTGCGGATCAAATTACAGATTTTCCTCATCAGAAAGAGCAGTTCAGCCAGGTAGCTGGGGAAGGGGCAGCAGAAGGGTGGGGGAAACACAAACACCCGGAGTGAGGTTCTCTTCGCTGGAAGAAAGCTGCCTTGCATCCTCCTCCACACACAAACATGTACACCTTTGCCAGGTCAGTCCAGATGAAACACCTCCCAGCCCCATGCTGGAGGAATTCAACTTCTCCCACTGCCACACAGCCCCCAAATGTGAGCCATGGAGGCTATTTCTTAGTCAAGGAAGCGAATCTGAGGATCTCAAGTGCAGCCAGAGGACTTCGAAGCACTCACTGCAAGGAGGCTCAACAAAAGACATAAAGGAGGCCTGGAGGGTCTACAGGAACTTGCAGTCTGCATTAGAGGGAGCCACAGGAGTGGCCTGGGAAGGTCATCCAATAGCTCTTCGAGCTGTAAATGCACCACGCCTTGAATGGGCTCCAGGAGGCAAAAACAGCCCGCAGACTTCTGAAAGTTGCCCAACCCTCATCCAACTGATCCCTGTAAGATCACCCATGATGGCTCTCCACCATGAAACCTGGGTGCCCTCCCATCAATAACTGTTGATCAAAAATACTTTCGAAGTTTCCTGGCTAAGTGCCTCCTTTCCTTCTCCTGCGCAAACTGATCTGAACTGCAGAAATCTCTGCCCTAAGGAAAAGATGAGATGATTTTCTGCTATCCCTTTGCAACCTTCTGTTAGAGCAGGAGCAGGTGACCTAATGCCTGCCGAATGATTAGGACTACAACTTCTATCATCCACAACCCTTGGCCATCCTGCCTGGGTGCATGGGAGTGGTAGTCCGAAGCAGTTGTCTATGTTACAGGAAGGAATATAAAGGAAGACACACCTCTGGTACCTCTAATACTTGAGCCGTACAGAGAATGTGGGCAGCTGCAGCTCGCCATACAGGTGCCAAAACAACTTCAGCCTCTGCAACCTCATATCTCTGAAGAAGGCAGGAACTCTGTCCTCCTTTGGTTCCACTCACCCTACACCTTGCGAGTCCCCACCCCACCCTGGCTGGCTCCTTCTGTGGCCAGCATGCTGGATGGCATCCTGCTCCCCCCACCTCCACTCCCCCTTCCTGTCTTGGACCCCCCGCCCCATCCTCAGTACCTGTCAGTGAATTCCTCCAGGTTCTTGCCCTTGCTGACATGCTCGCTGTGTCGGCAAAGCCAAGTGACCTCATCACGGCAGAAAGACAAGGCCATGAAGACATAAATAGCCTACAAGGGTGGAAAGGGAAAGAGACATAGGAGGTTAGGTCAAAGAATCTCCCTCCCTTCTGTCAGGAAGGTCAATTCAAGGAAAGCCATTACATTTTTCCCAAAGTGTTGAGGGGTGAACATATCCCAAAACTAAAGCTAGTTTCTAAAATCCTATCCTACTGGCAGATGTCCTGCGATTCTGCATTACATGATGAAAAACCTAGAATAGGAGGGTCAGTTTTTCCAATTAATGGAAAGTAATAAAGTCACACTGTGTTCTGGCTCATGTTCTTCCTGTATTTCAGAATTTTGTTTGTGAATAAAATGATGGGCGGGGGGAGAGAAACATGAAGTAGGTGAAATATAGTTGGTCAATCAATATGGAAGATGAACAGAATGGAAAGAGCTAAGAAATTAATTCCTGGGGTTTGGGACAGCACAGAAGAATTTGCTGCCACTGACTAGAACAGGTGCACGGTGCTGCAGTTGTGTGCATGGCAGAGAACACCCTGCAGCTCTTGAAGTCTTGGCTTCTCCACTACCACCATGTGAAGTCCCTACAGTGGGACAGCCAGTGGTGGTGGGATGGGCCCTTCCCTCCTGAGGCAGTAGCAGGTTTCCATCCCATGCCACCACCAGCCCAAATCAAAAGGGTCTGTATCAGTTGGTTTACTCAGGAACTGGCCAGCATGATCCCAGATCCAAGTTACCTCAGTTGTACTCAAGGAACAAACTCTGTTGGTGCAAAACTAGTTTTTTTTTTTTTTTCAATCCTCTTTGTCCCCACAGCACAAACATGACCTGTTCCCTGATCATACCAGGAGGGAAGATCCGGTCTTGGCTGGGGCCATGTGCAAGGACGCCCAGAACTTTGTTGAACTAGCATTGTTGGCATAAAAGAGGCAAAGAAGAGGGAAAATACACTTATTTGCGTGCGCGAAAGAAATTTTAAAATATTGGTCAGGTATGGGTAGGTCCACTAAGGTGCTGCCAGGCACTTTGAAGGGGCAGGTTACATAGAAACATAGAAACAGAGTGAGTCAGAAGGGTCCTCCCGGGCCATCTAGTCTGACCTCCGGCACCAGCCGGATCTGCTCACGACATGCCCACCATGTGGACATCCAGCCTATCCTTGAACACCCGCACCGATGGGGCCTCAACGACCTCCCGTGGAAGCCCATTCCACACCCTTGGGGTCCTGACTGTCAGGAAGTGCTTCCTGGCATCCAAATGGAAGCTCGGTTCTCTGAGCTTTGCTCTGTTGGAGCACATTCTGCCTTCCTCTGCAGGGGAGAACAGGTCTCTACCCATCTCCATGTGACATCCCCTCACATACCTGTATGTCACCAACATATCCCCTCTGAGTCTCCTCTTCTCCAGGCTGAAGAGACCCCGTTCCCTTAGTCTCGCCTTGTACCCCATCCCCTGCAAACCGGCCACCAACCTTGAGGCCCTACGCCGCGCTGACTCCAACCTGGCTATATCCTTTCTGTAATGAGGGGCCCAAAACTGAACACAATACTCCAGTTGCGGGCACATGTCATGTACAGTGGTAGTAATACCTCTCTCGATCTAGAAGCCACACTTCTGGCTATGCAACCAAGAGTGGCGTTCGCCCTCTTGACCGCCGCATCACACTGCTGACTCAGGTTTAGCCTGCAGTCAACCAGTACCCCAAGGTCCCTTTCACAAGTGCTGCTCTCCAGCCACTTGTCACCTAACCTGTACTTATGACCCCTATTCCTATGCCCCAAGTGCAAGATCTTGCACTTATCCACATTGAACACCATCCTGTTGTCTCCTGCCCAC